TCCATGACCTTCTTCAGTTACCATGACTCTGGAGAGAAATTAGAAACATTAAAACCAGAGAAATTAGAAACATTAAAACCAGAAAAGTGATTTTTTGATATAATGAAGATTCTGTGGTTCATGAAGAGAGATAATTTATCAGCCTTAAAGTCACACACAATGTCAATCACAGAGAGAGCATGTAAAGTAGATAGATGACAAAAGATTAACCAAGCAAGCAACTACTATGGGTCAAGATTAGTGTGTTGATTTCAAGCAAGGTTGCAAGTCATATGAAAACGTAAATCCCTGCACTCAGAGGTTGGAGGATGTAGCTTTTACTGCTTGAGTGGCAGCATAAAGAAAGGTTGAAGACCAAGAAGAATTAGCTCAGTGGGAGAAAAGATATACACACTGAAAAAAACAAAAACAAAAACCGGCCCTGGCAACAAATGATTTAACCAATAAATGGTTGAGTAAGTATATTAAATTGTTGGGATTTTTCAGGAAAATGCAATTTCCGCTGAAGAATGAGATTATAATAAACAATATCATACATCTACACAGCTTTGAAAGTCAAAGTTTTCAATAAGATAAATAAGTAACCATAATAGATAAAAAGTTGGAAAATACTTTGCTTCCAAAAATGTTTTTCTTGAGGACCTTAAATTTATGTTTAATATCATAAGCAAATGCATTTTATTGATTATAGAATAATAGTGGTGGAATGACAGATAATGACTACTTCAGTACTAGAGTTCACTTGGAGATATAAGAAGTAATTGTCAACATTTTTAGCTTAAATCACATGGAGACAAAAAAACGAATTATAGGCATGCTATATCCATATGAACTGATAGATATATAGATCACTTGCCACAAACCCCAAACGTACACTAAGTGAATCAGTGAGAGCATGTGAGTGTACGTATGCATATATATATATATATATATACACATACACATATATATAGTGTGTGTAATATATTATTACATGCATTTCTTCAATAAAGAGAAACAGAATTTCTAGTAAAAATGATTATGACATTACTAGGGCAATTAACATGTACGATGACTCTGGAGTATCTTTTAATGACAATAAATAGGGTAGTTTTTGTTTTTATTTATAAAATGTAATAAAGACATAACACTGGCTCCAAGCTTCCAAAACTGATTATTCCATGATAATCCTAGATATTCTCTGTCCTTGAGGTAAGGGTTCATTTGGTTCACAGTTCAAGGTGTAGTCCTTGGGCATGCAACTCAATCAGCAGGGGCTTAAAACATCTGGTCGCTTTGCATTCACAAATCCAGAAACAGAGAGATAAATGCTCACATATTGCTAGTCAGTGTCCATTCCAATTTGTACATGCTCCCATTTGTACAGTCCAGAAATCCTGCTCAGCATGGAGTCCTACAGACCATTAAAATGGATCATTCCACACCCAGAGACCCATCTCCCAGGTGATTCTAGATTGTGTCAATGTAACAGTTAATACTGGCTATCATAGATAACCTCTGATCAATGGGCTTGATAGTTATTTTGTGCTTTGTAGATACTAGTCGTGCTAAAAAAAATTATTTGTGCCTCAAATAATTGTAATCTATGTAATATATCTTTAGGTATAGAAAACTAAAGACAGTGTTTAGGATTATAGAGCAAATATTAAATGTTACTAGTTTTACACAAACAGTAGATTATCACCTATACTATATCAAAAGTTCCTAATTTATTTTCTATGTCCAAACCTTATTAAATAACTTTATCACATTGGCGTAAATATTTTTAGTCTAAATCAAAGGGATTATCTTCACTAGTTGCTTGTAACCTCACCATACTTCCCCACCTATTGGACACAGGCAAACTGCTAAGAAATACAGTTTACAACCACCTAGTTCTTTGCTTTCTGGCCTCATTTCCAGCACTGTCCTTTAAATAACTTGAATTATCAGTGTCCAGAGACTTGTGATCATTCGAGTTCAACATCTAATGAATCCCTACCTGATAGTCTTCGCAATTCATTAGAAAATCAAATTCTCTTGCTCTGTGAACTTATTCTGAACCACCTCCAAATCATGAATTGCTCACTGGTCATGTTCAGGATCTCTTTTTTTAAAGCCTTGGTCACATTTTGGCAGGCAGTCTTTAATAGCAAACATTGCCTACTCCATGTCTTCACTGTGGAAAATTTTTAAATATATCGTGTTAGAACAGTAAAAGCAGGAAACATGTCAATGCTAACATGTCCAGGAAAGAGGAAACTGAAATCCAGCAACCCTTACTACTCAACAAGTCTGTGGGAGACCATGCTACTTTTTCTGAACACTGTAGATTCCCTTTCTCTTTTTAGTTTCCTGACAACTTCTTGCACCATTACTTAGTGATTCCATAAGTTTTGACAGAGACAACACAGTTTCTTATAAGGCTGTCTAAAGTGTTTATAGATCAAGTGCTACAAGTAAGGCTTTAGCTCAATGCTTGGACCTAACAAGGACTCTTAAACATTGCAGGTCCTCAAGTAACAATAGAGAATGTGTTGTTGTTTGCCTTCAAGTCACAAGTACTTAGGTGACCTATATGTAACTAGTGTATACATATTGTTGAGTATCAGAAAAAGATGTAATGTAGAATGGATGTGCTACTTAGCTGGAAATAGAAATAAAAGAGTTACTATGTGAGAATAATGTAACTATATCTCTACAAAGATTCCAATCCAGGTGTGATAGCTCTATAAAAAATGAAGCCTCACCTATATATCCAGATCAGTGTTGCTGATCAAACTTATGGTCGCTCCATTTTTTTTTTCAATTTTGAGAATAAAAGTCAATAATCATCTGCAGCCATCAGCAGGGATCCAAAGTTACTCAAGTAGAAGATGAGTTGAACCATTCAGTATGTTTTGAAATTTTAATATAGCTTAAACCCAACTTGAAATTTATGTGGCTTAATTTATTATCTCTTATAACAGAAACAGAAAGTTTTCACACAGACAGAAAAGATAAAATAACATTTCAAAACCTTCTTGATGTGCAAGACAAAAGCCTCATAAACCAAATGACAATGTATGATTTGTGTAATCCAATTACTCACAATTTGGTTGTTTTTATCATAACAATCTGTGCTGAGATATAACAGGAATGTGGATGAAAAACAACAACGAAAAGATGTGATTTTAAAAGAAAAACTAAGAATTTTGGAAGCAGAAGAATATTCTGGAGTTTTAACAAAAATTTAAAACATCAAACATCATTTGTGAACTACAAAATCAGGTCATTGTTCATATATAATAAAAAGGCTTTTGTTTGTTTGTTTGTTTGTTTTGTATAGGAGAGATAGCTGCACTTCATGTGAGCCTAGATGATTTGGTAATTCCGTTTCTAGTTGCTTAAACAATCTCCATTCAGTTTACTACAATAGCCATAGTAATTTGTATACCAATAATATTCAAATTTCCCTTTTGTCTATATTCATATCAATTCAAAATCACCAAAAGTAAATTTCAAATGTTCTCTGAACAAAACAAATGATAACTACTAAGATGTTGAATATATAATTTAGCCATTTACTATCCCAGATTGCATTAATAAATCATAATATCACCTTGAACTGCATAAATTTATGTGCCTATATTTTGTTCAGTGTTAATGAAACGAAAAATGGGGGAGGGCAACCTCAAAGGATAAAGGTACATGTCAAGAAAATAGTTACCAGGTAGTGTTCTTGCTGTATTGTGTCAGACATACTCAGGTACTTTCTCTATTCTTTTAAAAATGTGGTGAGAGGCAACATCTTGTTATCACATGCATATATACGTATGCTCGTGTGATAATATATATCACATAAATATACATTATTCATTTTAAAAATAACCCCTTCAGTCCATTGTATGTTACTTGTAGGTATATTTTCAGAGCTACCCATTTGCCATTGGACAACCAGTTGATGTGCTTGTCCCTGGGGAGGACCACCTCTACCATTCCCAGCTTTCCTCAGTTGCCTATAGTTCTCTGTGTAGAGTTGGGACCTTCTGGGCTCTTTTCCAAGCCTTTAACAAACACTGCTCAATTTATTGTCATTTAGCATTAGGGAATATTATGTTGTATTGAGAGTAATCTAAACACAGACAGTATATTAGATAGCTATCCTCCATGGGGTCTACAGCTACTGCAGTCACAGAGGTGGCTCAACCTTTGGATGTGTCCCAGCTTCTTCCCGTGACATGACACCCAGTGAAATGACCGTTTTAAAGGTTGTCTCTGTGGGAAAAGTGACAGTATTCCTAAAACCCTAGGTTAATTCCTTTTCATTTTTTTCTACACACTCAGACTATCTACTGACATCATTTGCAAAAGGTATGTCTTCTTGGTGGTGACGGGGTGACAGCTTTCTGAACCCCCAGGAAAGAAATGTGTATGAAGAACACACACACACACACACACACACACACACACACACACACACACACACTGCAGAAACGCATTCTTTTGAGTGAGTCACTGAACGAAAGGAAAGCAGCCTTTAAGCAAGTTTCTTAGTTTACACTTCACTTCTCAAAGTTAATTCCCAATTCTGTCCAGTACACTTTAAAGAACAAGTTAGAATGTTAGAAGCCTCTCGGTTTTCATCTGCCTTCATCCTGTTTCTTACCGATAGCTACTTTCTGCATTAAATGCTCTCTCTCCCTGTCTCTCTCTTCCCCTCTCTCTCTCTCTCTCCCTCTCTCCCTTTCTCCCCCCCCCCCTCTGAAACACACACACACACACACAACACACACACACACACACACAAACACACACACTTTCCCCACATTTCCCTTCCCTAGCACGTGTAAACTTCACTGACTCTCTTCACCACCCTTACCTCCTCCAGCTTTTCCCTCCAGGACCCCAGCCTCTTTCCCTTGGGCTGCCCTGTGTCCTTCTTCCCTGCTTTGCTTTGCTGAGCACCTTCACCGCATGAAGCGCTTTGCAGATTCCCGGGCTATTTGCTGGTGAGAAATCTTTGCTGCAGCTGCAGCAGGACTAGAGTCCCCGCGCGCGCGCACGCAGGCCAATGGCAGAAAAGGGCTAGGCTGGGCTAGGCTGAGAGGAAAGGGCTGTGAGCGGGCAGGCAGCCTGTCCTCCCGCGAGCCTGCAAGGATGCGGCAGGGGACTGAGACCATGGGGAGGTGCTAACTTCCTACCCACCCACCCCCCAGCCGGGGATCCGGGCTGGCATACCCGGCCCCCCAGGCTAGTTTCCTGCCAAGCGCAACCAAGAAGCCAAAGGCGCTTTGGAAGGCATAAAAAGAAAAAAAGAGGGGTGCTGGAGAAGGGTGCTGATCACCAGAGCTGGTCCCTCCGCAAACGCAGGAAGAAAGGAGGAAGGGGGTCAGAGACTGGAGAGGAAACGCCAGAACCCCGGTCTGCGGACTGGCTCGGGAGCCTCCCTGAAGACCTGGGCGCTCTGGTGAGCACCCGCTGGAGGGAAGGGGCGTGCGAGGGGCGAGGGACGAGGGGAGGGAGGAGACGGGAGAGGGGAGACAGGCTATGGTCCAGGGGACCACAACGGTGGTGCGCACTCTGGTACTGGTACCTAGGCACGGGCTCGCGGATGCTGCGGCCCGGGTGGGGGCCGGGTGCAAGCTGAAGAGCGCGTGTGGCGCCCGCGTTGGTGGGTATGTGAGCAGGCGAGCGCAAGTGAACCACAGACAGAGCGCATGTCTCATCCCTGTGAGCAGAGCAGCAGCTAGACCGCCACCACCATCTTCTGCATGAACATTATCAGCAGGACAGAAAACCTCCCCCAGGGCTATGGAGACTGCGGGAAACATCTGGCAGCTGGAGATGGATTGCTGAGGGGAAGCAATCATAACCTCAAAGCGCCCAAACCTCTCTCTTGTTTTCTTTCTCGTTTTTTCTTTTCCTTTTTCTTTTCTTTTTTTTTTCTTTTCTTTTCTTTCTTTCTTTTTTTAAATTTAATTTTAGCGCCATCGTCTTCAATGCCTCTCTGAAGAGCCTTTAGTAAGAGTGTGAGAGAAAGAGAGGGAGCGCGTACCAGGGAGAGTAGCAAAGAAGATGAGGAGTATTTGCAGTCAGATTGTCTTGTTGTTTTCTGGATTTTGGGGACTCGCCATGGGAGCCTTTCCAAGCAGCGTCCAAATAGGTGAGTAGACGGCAGGGGAAGGGGTGCATGTGTCTAAAGTGAGTGACTTAAATGAGTTACTGATAAGAAATTAGGGAATCCTAAGGAGGTGCCTTCCTTCCCTTTACAATCAGCTGCTCTCGGTGCAAGTTCAGATAGTAGACACAGGCTAGCACGCCCAGCCCTGACCCTATTTTCATTTTCCCTTAATGGCTTATATCAGGATTGGAAGAAGTTGAAGGAAAGAGAAAATAAAAGATAAATTAACCTCCATGTGGCCTTTGATTATATTTTATAGCACCTTTCTTTAATCGCTTTTCCTGAGAAGAGGAAATACCGAATTTTATTTTATTTTTGTTTGTTTTTCCCCCGACTTCTTGCAGCTGCAGCATTCTCGCTATAACAGAAAGATACTGGGGGCAAACACGCGTTTTCTGTCCACACTCTTGCCTTGTCTTGCTACCAGATGGCAGATAAAAAGTTAGACCCTTTCCTAGGAAGCTCCGCTGGGTTTATTTTGCTTTTCGCTTATGTTTTTGCTCTTCCGTATCCTTGGGCACCACACTCTGTATCTATCGACCCTCCCTTCCTTCGTGGTGCTTGCCATTCTCCCCTTCTGTCTGTTGATGGGACTCAGCTATTGAATTTCTTCCAGCCCAGCCCAGCCTCAAGCACTGCATCATTTTTTTTTTTTTTTTTTTGATGTGTGTACTGTGCACACATAAAACAGAGTGGTTTGGATACACACACATACACATGAGCATGGGGGCAAACTAAGTTCTCTCCCTTCTAAATGTGGAGGCTCTCCTGTGCCTCCACATTCCTCCATGTCTGTTCTGTATTTTGATGGAAATCTCTTGTCGCTTCATCTGCATCCTCACTGAAACTGAGCCTTGTCCTGAACTGGCTGCCCGAACAGCACAAGGGGAAAAAAAATTCAAGGTGCACTAAGTGGTCTCAGAGGTCACCGTGATCGCGATTAAAGCAAGAAAAAGCTGAGCTGCCCTGAAGACTAAAACACTAAGCATGCTGTGCAGGGACAAAAGCAGCCCCTATGATGTAACAACAGAGCTCCTTAATTGTGCAAGCTTGCTGTTGGGGATATTTGGCAATCCTGGGGCTGGGTGTAACATCTAAAACAGGAAACACTGTGTGAAGCTGCTGTCTTTCACAGGTGGTCTCTTCATCCGAAACACAGACCAGGAATACACTGCTTTTAGATTGGCAATCTTTCTTCATAACACCAGCCCCAATGCCTCTGAAGCCCCTTTCAATCTGGTACCTCATGTGGACAACATTGAGACAGCCAACAGTTTTGCTGTGACAAATGCCTGTAAGTAAAATAAGTACAGCTAAATTGGAAGAGAACTGAAATGAGGAGGTGGGATTCTTTTCTTTGTTCAGAATTTTCTAGAAAATAAAATCCAGACTTCAACAGTTGCCTGATGGCAGAGAAAAATCACAGTTTGAAAGTGTTTAGTCTTTGGGATTTTCAGCTGATCTCTTTACTTCCCTTCCTCCCTCTCCCTTTTATCATCTCCCGTTTGCCTTTTAATTTTTTCCTGCTTAGATCCCACAAGTGGAATTCTCCTGTAACATTGTAGCATTGTTTCAGTCTTCTGAATCCCAGTGGAAACAGTACTCACTCTAGTGTTTAATCCCATCCTTTTGTTTTTTCCTTCTTGAGTTTCATTGGAGTAAACTCCTGTCATGCTTTTAAAGAAGTCATAAGCCTTCCCAGTGCTAAAAGCCATGTTGAGGAGGCAAGTGGTGATGTGGAGAAAATACATTGAAGTCAGCTGGCAGACATGACATAAGATTCAGTGATGTCATTTGAGGCCATTCTGCCCTTATATTTTAGTTTATGACTGTTTCTTGCTATCTTAATGGATCTGGCTATCCATGAAACACCATGAACTCTGATCTACCTGGATTCTAAAACATACCCAGTTGGATCTCCACACAATCTAACCACATGAGTGACCTCATATAATAGTACAGGGATAAGTTGTGCAGAAGTCCTCCATTAAAATTCTGTGTAACTTGATGAGGAAAAAGAAGCCCCTAACTGTGTTCATGTCAAACACTAACATGTGACTCATCAGTGGTCCTGGGCTGGCTTTTAGTTTAGTTAGTGATGCGTGGCCATATTTCAGATGTTTCCTCAGTTTTCTGTGCTTATATCCTGCCTTGTTAAAACAATGTTTCTGAATTATCTGAGGCATGAGGAAGTGGTTTCTATGTGAAATGGTGAGTGCTTTGTTTCTAGTGCACCAAGTTGGAAAATCTTTTAATTAAAAATTGTCAGGACAAGAAAATAAACTGAACAAAGGAAAAAGAAAACATCGAAACAGAAAACTGTGTTTCCAAGGAAAAAATATGTCTGTTTCATGTGCTAAAGTGATTACATTCATATTTATTTATCATTAATTCACTTACCAGATAACAGGATGATTATTTTGGAGGTCTGTTTACTACTACATTTTGAACTTAATTTCATGAAGGTGTTGCAGTTTTTGACAGTTTTATAAAATATTGTGGTTATATTATTTGCCATGATTCCTGTGCTTACTACTACTTAGTGATTATTGCTTATTTGTTTTACTTGGTGATGAAATTAATATTTCCTTACTTGGGGATGAAATTAATATTGTTTTATTTGGTGATGGAACAGATACTGTTTTATTTGGTGATGAAATTATATTAAAACAAAGGAGTTTTATTTTAAGCCAAAGTGCATATAAATTACAGCTAGGTTTGTGTATGGTCATTTATAAGTTTTATGAGTTATTTTCTTAATATGCCAAGTATTAAATAAGATACAACATCTCACACAATTTTGGTCAAAGCATTCTCGTGGAGGAGTGATGGTGACTTTTTTATGTGCTTATCTTTTATCTCTTCTAAAAGTCTATCAGGGCCTGTTTTACTAGCTTGGAAACTAATCGACTAACCAAATATATTGTACAAAGTGAGGGGACTTTGTCCACAGGGAATTATATTTGCACAATATCAATTTAATTTGAATGAGTTTCCTAAATGTGGTAGTACATTGTGTTTTGTTTTCTAAAATTGAGATCTTAGGGATTGGAATGTTTGCACAATGACATTTAGCTTTGTAAACTGTAAAGTGCTATTCCTTTCTTCCTCCATATCATCAGCTAACCTCATTCAGCATCATTTTAGCTAGGAGTGTTTTAGTTATGTAACAAAACATGCATGAAATTAAGCAAAGCACTGGTCAAACTAAGACTATGGCAGCTGGTTACACAGATAATAAAAGAATCTATATGTATGAAATTTAGAGGACATTCTTCGTTATTAACGTGCAACTAAAACAAGTAACCTTAGATGTATCCAAGTGCCATACAATATTGGCAAGCTAATGTGCTCACACTTATATATTATTGATTCTGTATAGATGATTAAAAATATTTCCAAAACAAAATTATAAATAAGTAAAAATGTTTTTTAGTGAAGAAAAGGATACTTCTTTTTGACTATAAATGTCTACACCAAATCCCTTAAGATAAATCCAAGTTACAATTGAAAACAAATGGAGAATATGAATCTCTGATTGATGCTTGTTGGGTAGACTGACCCAAAGTGCATGGATAAACACACACACACACACACACACACACACACACACACACACATGCATGCACGCACACGCACGCACAATTCGACTTTAATCACTAGTAACTATAAATTAATCTCATCTATCAAACTTTGTGTCTTTGGGTTCAAAAGGGTAAGAATGATCTTGAAATTTCTTATTTTGGAAAATTAACTTGGGGATTTATTCTTTGCAGTGACACACACTGGATTTTCAAACTTGTTACATTAGAATGAATATAAATAATAATATGTGTTATACTCAATCCATTCCCATTGTGATTTTCCCACAATGAATCTTTATAAACTTCCAGTCTCTGCTCTGTATGAATAAAGAATATTAACCAGGGTACTTTTAATTATTTTTATGGGAACTACATTCATGCAAAAACCAGATAAGATTAAAGTATGCTGATTACCTGGTTAAAAAGCATAGCCTAATGTTGATTATTAGGACCAAAATTAATCAGCTCTCTAAAAAGTTTGTAAAACTGTACCTGATTAATCCAAAAGGAGCAATTTGGAGGTATCAATACCATCTTGCAGCAGGAATTAATAATTTGTACTTCTAATTTTATTGTTAACAATATTTTATCTTCAGCAATATTTGTATACTTTTAAATTAACTGGTTTTTCTCAGCTGTTCATATTGCTAAAAAGTCAAACTTCACTGATATTAAAAGGAAATTAGAAGAAGCACAGATAATAAAAATTATAACCATTTTCAATAATAAAATGTGTGTTTAATAAGTGGCCCTTTTACATAAACATCAGTGTCATAGGCTATTTAGATTTCATTATTGTGAACTATATATAAATAACATTCTGATAAAAAAACTGATATTTCAGAGTTAAATAATAAATATGGTCAGTGTTTGAATTCTTTAAATACATTTTTATATAGCATCATTATAGGTATGTCTGCAAAATGTGGATAATATTCTTCTAAAACATTTGATACAACCCACAATATGGAGATATATTTCCACTATTTAACAGATATCTAGCTTAGACAATAATATTTGTTAAATTTGACCAAAACTCATAATCAAAATACTAAACTCTTGCCAAAATTTCTAAACACAATAATATTTGACAAATTATGAATTTGAAATTTCTTTTAGAAAGATCAGTACATGACCAATCCCTTAATGAAGCAACTGTTGTTATTTCACCGACCAACATCCACTCAGTAGAATTATGCTTGAAAGCTAGAATGGACAGTGAGAGGTACATGATAAACCAGATACATTATCAAAATATTTAAAAAGTTATAGATATCTAGACTAATTTTGACTTTTAAAATTTGTAGGACTAATTGATAAGCATTTTTTTTCTATTCTCTAATGATTTCCTTATCTTGTTCAAAATTTCTGCCTAAAGCAGTCTGCTCAATTGTTTATCAAATGATGGCAGAGAAATTATAATAATTGAAAACTTATATGTTATACTAAACAATGAAATAGGTGGTTTGGTTTTGAGGTAGGATAACTCTTGTAGCACAGGCTGGTCTAAACATCATCATAAAGCACAGGCTAATTTTTTTTTAATTTAAAGAATAAGTGTTTATTCAGTACTATTATTTAAGATCAATACATGTTATTCTAACAGGAAAATCATAATTGCAGGAAAGAGATGAGTCTGAGCACACTGGATCTACAATAAGAGAGCAAAATGGACAGGAAATGGGGCCTTAGTATCAAATCTGATAATCCATCTAGAGTCACATTTCCCCCAATGAGGCTCCATTCCATAAATGTTCTACAGCCTTCTAAGACGGTTCTAGCAACATTTGATTGATAAATAGGCCATACTGAGTAAAAAATACATTTCTGTCAATGCTACCACTTCTCAGAAATTCTGTTTTAGAAACAGTTATTTAAATATTATTAAAATTGGGAGGATGTGAAGGGGTAGGAGTGAAAGGTAGATTCAAGTCACATAAGCATAGGCTAACTTATAACTCTTGATCCTTGTGCTTCAGCCCTCTCAAGTGCTGGCATTTGAAGTGTGTGCCAATATAGAGTACATGGAAAGATATACAATATGCACCACAGAAGTTCCCACTGATAAGGTAGTGAAAACTCACTGAGGTTAAGTGTGCCCAACAATCATATCCATAGTAAAATTCAACTATGCTTAAATATTGTAGGCATGTTTTCCTATATGTATATTGGGCCTTGTAAAAGCTAAGAGGCTGCACTGGGCCTCAGGAGGCTAAATATAAAGCTTTAGTCTTCAAAGGAAAGATATAAAGTAGACAACAGAATTAAGTGTGTTTGCATTTGATTTTAGGAAAATTAGCAAACTGTGATTCATTGGGCCTTTATGTTTGGAACTGATCTGAAATAATCATTTAGTTTGGTGATTTCCTATCTCCCCTATAATTTCCCATTCTAAGATTAATGGCAAAAATATGAGTCACAGTGTTTCAGGTTTTCTCTTTTGCAAATAATAAGAGGATTACATTATTTCTGAGTGGTCACAAGATGAAACTTCCACAAACTGTCAGAACACTCCCAAATTTTTTCCCAAATAGGGGTTTTCACAAGTTTTGTTTATTTTTGGGAAGAGGGAAAATATGTTTACTTCCTTCCAATGAGAAATTATTTATCTGTTCATTTGCCTGTCTATTGGTAATTGATCACTTTATATCTTGTATACAGAAGGACATCACCAATTTTCTGGATTTTAAAGTAAATATGTTACTTTATG